TTTTTGCCGTAAAAAATTCATACGACTTTACTCACCACTTACTATATCTACGCCATACACTTGCGGATAACGAAAATAATTAGCGAACAAGGTTTTGTAACTAAGGCTACTTGAATACTCAATGGGCATAATGGGTCAGGATGAATCTTTAAATGATGAGATGGAATCTTAAACTGACTCCGATCTGATTAAGAAGTGTCAGGACATAGACAAAACCGGCCGACCCAGGCCATTTTGGGTAGGTGCTTCTCTATATAAAAGGGGATAAAGTAACATAAAACCCTAACTTTTACATTCCCTACACATTTGATATCATGTTGTTGTTGCTCATTACAGAGCATCTTCTCACTTTATGATACTGACTTCAGTATCGGAGGCTCTACGCAAGAAATTCCTTCGGCGTTGAGTTCTTGCAGGTGTTCGCAACGATCTAGAGGCAGTTTAGACTAATGAGAGAGCTCATCTCAACGGTTCTACCTAGATCTGGGTAGATCCCCAACAAATATATATGCACATATATATGTGGAAAATTACCATTATACATTATTAGTAGGTAAGGCAACCAAAGTCCCAAACAGAAGTTGATCATGAGTTAGGTTTTTTTTTTTTTTTTTTCCCCACTAAAACGGCATAAGAATGCTCATAACACAAATAAACAACGTTTTACAACCCAGGGGATCAACTGAACCCCAACAGAAAACAGAAAAACAACCAGCATGGAGGGTCACACCAGTCAGTGCCCTGAATCAAACCTAAAACAACCATCATGAGTTAATAAGTGTTTATATATCTCCATTAACATTAGACCTTTCGAACATATATAAGCTAAAAAACGGACAATATTAAACTGGAAGGATCAATGTCATGAGATGAGAATTAGTGAAATTTTCATAAAGTCTCTTTAAGGATCAATTGTTGAACCATTTTAAGATGTAACTTGATCAAGATTCTTAACTTACTCGAATTCACGATATTTCGCCACCAAATCAAAATTGAATTCAAGGATATTTTAATAAATGTTTAGTTTAAAACCACACATATTGCAAAGAGGGGAGGCAAAGTTGGAGTTGGGCATAATAATGGCGAGGTCGATAGAGAAGAAAACACAACCACACAGAAAAAAATAGAAGAAGCTGTATTTTGTTAAATTTGAGAGACCAAAAAGGCAGCTTTTGTCGTCTTTCGTTGATTGGTTGGTTGCTGGCTTTAGGAATGCATTCAACCAGCAGTGCTACTACCGTGCACCCTGACACACCTAGCAAGGTGTGCCAGGACACTTTAAAATGAACATGTTATGTTACAAAATGAACATGTGTGGCACACCTTGCTAGGTGTGCCAGAGCACACCTAAGTATTTGCGTTCAACCAGAACCAACGACCAACTTTTCTCCATAATTGCACTTTGGTCCCACCTTCTTTCCAAAACCACTCAAACTGCAGATAACTTTCAGATGATTTAATCAAATTGACTCACAGTTCAAGCCTAGAAAGGTACAACTTAGTATTACAGACATAGAAGTATCCTAAGTTTAACATCAAATCTACATTACAAATTGATTTTCACACCACCAGTACTACTGAGTTTCTCCGGTCACATGGAAACTCGCTAAAAGTGGGCTTGTGGGCCATGGCAAAGTTGGGTCCCAAATATTTAAAAAAACACTACGCGAGGGGTCCAGCCTGTTTCAACCATGGGACTCGGCTTAACGAGCCCAACTGGAAACAAGGGCTTTGCCCCAGCCAGTTAACACCTTTACTTTGCGGCTCTCTGCCACATGAAATGAAAAGTCACAACTGTTTAATGGGCAAATAGAAGAGAACCTGTGTTGTGTTAATTTTTATTTGAACTTGTTCCTACACCAATGAGGCTCCCAGTGGAAGTTGAAAGCTGCCTGCCTTTACTCCTCTTGATAACTCTCTTCTCATATTCGAAATGCTCGGGGGAAAACCGGTCAATTTATCCTCTAAAAGTTTCTCCAAATGCTGCGAAATAGGGAATGCAAATTCTAATATTTTTAGAATTAACAAAAAGTAGAAAGATTATATGTCAGATATGCAATACACTCGAGCAATGAATTACGACACAAGGACCTCCATCAGAAGTTGCAATCACTGTTAGCTCCGGAAGTATATTCAATCGTCTACTGGCTAAAAAAAAACTTACAGACCCAACAAAGCAGCAATAAAGCATTTGGTATATACTACAGAGAATAAAGAAATTAGGTAGATGCAGAAAACAACGGTGTTTGACAAAAAATAAAAATAAAATAAAATAAAGGAAATAAACAAAGAAAGATATAGAACTTTCACATTCTTCATGTCCATTCTAAGGAGTCCAAATTCATAAGTTCTACAAACATGGTATATGCATGAAATTAATGCAAAGAAAGAAAAAAAAAAAAAAAGAGAGAGGATACATTACTTAGAATATATCATACTAATGAAAGAATCTCCTGCGGCACCTAGCAGAACCGAGCTCCTCATACTCAGCCTTGGTGACACACATTGCCTCAAAATCAGGACTCGATGCTAAAAGTGATCCACCACGCCATACGCCTAAAATTGGGCTGTGGAAAAAAAGGTAATTTAATGCTCTAATTAGGAGCACAAGCCAAAATATTTTATTAGACAAAGTGCTCTTTAGAAAAAAAAGACTTTACTCTTCTTGAGTTGTTATCTTCACTTTGTACTGTTCAGGAACCAGAGGCCGAAGCTCCCTTTCTCTGGTAATCACACAAAATAATATTAAGTAACCAGGCCGTCATCTAGAAGAAGTTTCTGAGTGAATTAGAGCGTAGGATGCTTACAGTCTTCCAGCAAAATGAGGAAATAATGTGCTTCCACCCGTCAAAATAATGCTGCATGCGAAGAACAAACTAACTACAGTGAAATAACCGAGAGAGAGGAATTTGATAGGTCAAAGTATAACCATATAAAATCCATCAGCACCTTTCATAAAGCACCGGGTGAAGATGAGGATGGCATGAATTGACAGCTCGAACAATGCATTCTGCAAGCCCTGCCTGGTTCATTCCTATGTAACATCCACCAATGTCAAATTGGTACCTTACAAAACGGTGATCTTAACTTAAGGAAAGTACAAGTACATCTAAAATTCTGTGTTTTTTTTTTTTTTGGCAAACTCCTGTGTTCTTAAAGCAAATAATGGACAATCAAACTAAAAGTTTAATCATAATATAATGCAAATCTCAAGTAAGACTTGTCTATAAACCAACACCAAATGTGAATATCTAATGGCAATATGGCAGACAGACCCAGGTCAGCTGGTCGAAATATCATCTCTGGAACAAGAAACCTCTCGTTTGTTAAGGTAAATTCCTGCCAAAAAGTAAGTGGCTATAAATAAATTGAAATATATATAGGTGACTTATTTGAACCAAAGGAAGAAAAGTACATTTTTTGTTAGGTCAATGCTCTTATGCTCCCGAGGTCTGTCAGTAACATGCTGTGTGTCCGCATAATGCTTCTCACCTGCTGGAGAAGTTCCATCATTCGAGGCTTGGTATCTATTTGCTTCATTGGTATCTTTCACAAAACCTTTTGTATAAGTTATACCATCAGGAAGCACGTAAGTACACCGAAATATGTTGTCAGTTCCAGATTTCCTGAAAAGTCAGTTTCAAGCACGAGAGAGTTAACAAAGACTAATATAATGTTTAAAGGACAAAGCCACAAAATATCCAGTTTGTGGGAGATGATCCACGTCAGCTTTGATACTCTATATCAACATAACCAGGTTGCACGTGCAAATCGATCAAGAACATATCGACACAACACATGCAGTGCTGCTTTAGCAAAATAGTAATGACCACATTTGGTTCAATAGTTTATTAATATCACAAATACGTCAAGTACCCATCCTACTTCTATCTATATTGATGAGGTTATGGGATATATTTCACCAAATAACTTTACAAAGTATGATTTATTGCACCATTGTACAAGGTCTCTGCAAGTTAGTCCAACGTATCAACAAGAGAAGTACCATCATAAAGACTATGCAAACATAAAGAATCAAACACCCATAAAAAGCAAGTAAATGTTGCATTTGAGAAACATGAAAATGATCTGACTGCTCAGTTTGTCATTCCTTAGTATCAAGCAATACCGTAAATAAAAAAGTGATAAATTTTGGCAAGAATCACATACATGTCAGCCTTCAACAATTACAATGTATGAGGATGGTGTAATCTTAATAAATCAAGCTCCAAACCAAGCACCTAAAAATTGCATTCTGGATGCAAGAAACATAGAAAATGATAAAAACATCCATCCCTACTCTTCTTCCTTTAATAATTTTCTGCAGCAACACTAATAACAAACCTTTCATTTCAAGCTCTTAAACGACACAATGAGTTCATTTGTTTAATCTACGAATTTGGCTATGAATACACACATCCACTATAGCCAGGACATAAATCAAGACAAACAAACTTTAAAAAAAATAAAATGCAGCGCCTCACTATCCATTGGGTATTCAATTGCTACGCAGGAGACTTAAATGAAAAGCAGAACATCGACTTTCATCCATATAGCTCGAGAGGAAACACATACTGGAAGATTTTAATATTTATCCCGGTCTGGTTAGGAATAGAAATTGGCAAACGATCATCATATACATGGTGCTTAATACTTGCATCTCAAATCTATTTATCATTGAGTTGATATTTTGCAACTGAAGCAGAATTCAAATACATAACTATTATCCAATAATTTCAGAAAATTCGAACTTTATAAGAAACTCCAAAAAACACAGAAACAAGTCAACCAGACCTGGCAATCTTGAGATCCCTCTGCACATCAAGAGAGACAAAGCACAGCTTCTCCTTCACATCGTCCATAATAAAGCTCTCATCCATCACATTCACACTACGGTAGCTGACGAGCTCCTTGAGATAGTTCGTCAGCGCTTTTCCCCCGAGGTCCATCCTCTTGACCCCATAATTCAGGGTGAAGTTCTGGAGAACCGGGGCCGCGTGCGTGAAGCTGAACCCACAGTCGACCACCAAGCTGCACTGAGCCCTCGATAGGAGGCCGTACGGCCTCCTAGAGGCCTCGTATAGGTGCACGAGAGACGGGGAGTCCGCCACAAAGAGTGCCTTGAAGTTAAACTCCTCGAAAATGATCTCGTCGACGGCGCGCTGGATGGAGGGGAGGGAGAAGAGGGGCTCGGTGAGGAGGAGGGAGGAGCTCGGGGGGTGGATTTTGAGGAGGTTGGTGAAGAGGTGGGCCCAGAGAGAGGACTGGAGATCGGGGTTGATGAGGTGGCCGCGGTCGAAGGGGCGGCGGATGGTGGCGGAAGTGAGGTCCTCGGAGGGGGAGAGGAGCTGGTCGGCAAGGAGCCACTTCTTGGAGGAAGGTGGGCGGGCGGTACAGTTGGGAACGACGCACGCCGGCTCTCGCTCGCCGCCGATGCCGCCCTTTATGAGGCCGCCGCCGTTGTCCACCACCACCACTAGGTTCGACATTTTTTTTCCTCCTCCCTTATTCCTTTTTTTTTTTTTTTT